TATATATATATATATATACGTATAATTACGTTTATCATATATATATTTAATAAACTAGTTTTTTCGCAATAACAATGTAGTCGAAATTTTTAGAGTTCTGTTTACCTTTCGCTGAACTATTCCCAGGGAAAGAAAGATAAATATAATTCCAATATCGTCGCAGAGAGAATGTACCCATAAAAAAACGCAACAAAAATTTGTGACATAAATTCAAACAGCTAGTTGCGCACGTTCTTTCACTCGTAACGTTACTATAATAGCATGATTTTTACGATGGGGGAATCTTCCAATTACGTAATAAATTCTCTCGCGTTTGATTAAATAACTTTAGAAGACCGCATGAAACGAATATATATTGTTTTTTACACGAGCGTTAATATCCCGCGGAAAAAACTGATAGCTTTTGTAACATTTATACAATTTCTATTTAATTTGGCGTTTTATATTTTTGTTTTGTTTTTTTTTTTTCTATAAATTCTATAACGTTTCTGATAAAATGTACATAGTATGCACTGTATCACTGATTCTAGAAATATTGTACACTGGAAAAAATCTGATTACATTAATTGGAATTCTGGTTGAAATTGAACAAATCAGAATTTTCTGGTTGAATCTATTATATTTCTGAAATAATCAGAATACTGATTAATCAAAATCTTCTAGTTCGTTTATTTTAAACTAAAAAATTTTCACAGTGTATGAAAACTGATTTTGCTGTGGTATCTAAAAATTTAGCAACTAGATACAGATCTGAAAATAATTTTGTTGGACAATCAAAATAATTATCTAGGACGCTTAAACTAGTTGCTAGCATGTCAAAAACTTTTTGCAACATCTTATCATCAAACATTCTATTCTTAAACATTCTACAGTATAATTATTTTGATGTTTCAGTAAAATTTTCAGATTTAATCAAATTTTTCAATATTTCAGAAAATTCTTTTCGTGTACAAACAAATTTAACATCTGAGCACTGAGCATGGCTGCTTACGAATTTCTTTAATGACATGGCAGATATTTATTTTCATATACCACAAAGATATATACGAAAATCACGTAACTTTTATATACGTAGCCCAGTATTTCCTGCATTCAAAGGAAAATTAACTTTTCCGGTCGCATATCATTTATGTTCAAATTCTTGCGCGCGGCAGGTTCAGTTTTCACGTTGATACGCGTGTTTTATGAACGCGGTCCTTTCGATGTCATAAACATTTAATGCCGATCGATTTACTGCGCGCGAATAATAAATGCAAGCGTGTGCTGGGCGTTGATAGAATATTGGCTAATACGTTTAATACTCCGCTTTCTAGAATTTATGACTTGCAGCGTTTGATCACACAAAATGTTATCACGACCGACGAATTAGGAGTAAATATCGACAAAAGGAAAAAAATTTGGATCATTAAAACTATATAAAGGCAGATAAAGATTTATTTTATTTTATTTTGCAGTAACGAATTGTTCGTAAATAGAAATTATATGACAAGTTAAATATACTACGCGATTTAAGAGAGTTGCGTGGATATTATTAAATTTAAATTAATAAAATAATGTACATATAATGTATTTACATAGAATATTATTATTGAATATTATTATTGTTAAAAATATGAAACATTTAATAAAACGAGATATTAATTTTTCATATTTTACACATTTTACTTTATCTGAAATTATCTACATCCATCACATTATAAATTATTACAACAGAAATTTTTATTCGTAATACGTGTGCTTTTCCCGAGAAAGTCGAGATATCGATGTAAGAATGAGATGCCTGATAAGAATTCAAGGGAGATAGAATAGAGGTCATATCAAATGAAAAACGTGACAAGAAAGATATTTGAAAGAAGATTTTTACCCATACATATTGAACAGTGACGTAGCACGTGAAGAGGACAAGATGCATATTCCGAAATTTTTATAGAAGAAATCTTTTTTTAGATCTTTATTCCGACAATTATCCGATTTGTCGTTTAATTGGTCATTTCTTCATTTACCGCGTTTAAATCTAATGGACAAACATCTAATCTAATGATTTGAAACACCTAATTTAAAACACCTCCTTGTAAGCCGCAGAGGAAAAATATTAAAACTAGTTGCACGCGTTCTTATAACTTATTTACAATGAAGAAAAAAAAGTTTGATATTATCGTATGGGAGGAAAAGGATTAAATCCATTCCACCGTGCATCCGTGCGATCTGTATCCCATATGCAGCACCAAGCAGGCGCTTCGATGTTGAAGCCTCCGGAGACAAGGTGTTGACCAATCGGCCGTGGAAAGAGACTGTGGAGGGTCGAGCTACGACAAACAAAGGTATCGTGTGATTCCTCTCGAGGCTGAAAGTCGGCGGTGACCCACGAACTAGGATTCCGTCCGGCCGATCGGAGAAATAAGTACAAAGGGGACTTCGAGAGAGTGACGTCGTCCCCTCGTCGTCATCGTTGTCGTCGTCGGCATCGTCGAAGCAACCAGCGGCCGCATGCATTATGCAAGCCGTGGGAAATGGACGGACGCGAAATGTCTGTCGCCCACTCCCGTCCCCGTTGCATCGGGGGCGAACTTGATGCGGCCAGTGCAAAAAGAACGAGGACCGACCAACGAATAGCCAAACGAGGGATGCACAGTTGGGTTAAGAGATTTCCCAGAAGAGATTTCGCCGCTACCGATATGGTACGCGATCGATTCGCCGGGCTTATACCTGGCTTCTCGCTCTCCCCGATCGACAGATGCGCGCGGTAAAACGTCTGAAATATTGTGATAACCTTACGCGCATATACCTGTACATGTTTCCCAACTCGGAAGCTTTCCCAGTAGATTTGGAAAACAAATTTTACAATATAATGTACAAGGGCGAGGTCTTCATTTCTATCTAAGAATAGACCTAGATGATAATATACGGCATGGATCTCTCACATTTAAGATATTATATTTGTCTAAAATGTGAGAGATTCTTGCAGTATTATCAAGAAAAATGGTCTGGTTGAATTAAATAATAATTTTCATGAAAAATGGACAAATCGGAATTTTCTGATTAAATCTATTAGAATTCTACAATATTTCTAGTAAATCTACTAGAATTCTTATTTTTACTAGAGAATAATTACATCAATTAGAATGCTAGTTGAAATAACTTAGAATTCTAATTGATATAATTATTCTCTGGTGAAAATAAGAATTCTAGTAGATTTTACTAGAAATATTGTATTAACTAGAATTCCGGTTATCTCAACTAGAAATATTAGAATTCTAATAAATTTAATTAAAAAATTCAAATTCGTCCATTTTCAACCAAAAATTTTTTTCAATGTATCATCTAGAAAAGTGAGATTGTACAGAATATGAATAGAAATACATAACGAAATTACGAATTGTAGATATTCTTATGAGATACAGAATTCGTAAAATCTTTCGACATTCTCATCAAATGATGAATGTTCGAATCTTGCCAAATGAAAGACAAGTAAAATCAAAAAAGTCACATACTACATCATCCACGCGGTGATGACTGTGGAGACCACAGGCAGGAGACGGGCTTCTCTCTCCGCTCGGTCGTGAAACGAAGAAAAGACCATTTCCACTTTCTACCTCCAAGAGGAGCGATATTCGTCACGCGCGTGTTGCACCTCGCTGCCTTGCTGACGCCACTGGTAGTTTTTAATCTATTTTAATTTCTAACGTTTGCCGCTCCAGTACCAGCCGGTCCCAGGACGATTTATGCTTAGTAGCAGCAGCAGCAGCAGCAACAGCAGCAGGTAGTCCGGATGCAGCGTACGTACGTACGTGCCTATGGGACTCCTGCGTGTTTTATGTTGGCTAATCTCGTAAAAATTCATGCGAAATAACGCCCGTGCTTCATCCGCCTCGCACGTTCTTCGTTCTCTTGTAGCCGGGCACGTTTCCCATCGCGCGACTCGAGCCGAATTTCCGGCCGCCGCCTTTCACTTCTCCCGCGATACTCCTGAAACGGCATTAAGATGATGCAAAATAAAACGAAGTAAGAAGCTCGCAATCTGAAAATTCGATAAAGTTAAGAAAGTGGGCTTTGAACTTTGTCGTATCACAGCACAAAAATAGTACAATGTTATTTCGATTCGTATAGGATAAAACTTTGAAAATGACGTTTTTTATAACGTAAAACATTTCTTTTTTTAACTCAATTCAATTTATAGCTTAACTTAATTTACACTTTTAATTTAAAAGAGCGATAGCAATTCCTTAGATTAAATAAATTTTCTTATTTTTAACTTCCATGTGTATTACAATGTAAATCATTCCATTTCTATGATTAGTTTCTAAGTAAATAACATTTATATTAATATATGCTCTTAGCAAATATTGAACTAAATTTGAGAAAAAAAACAAATTTAATATATTTTTCTTGAATTAAATTGTTTTAATTAAATTAAATGATATATTGAGCAATGACGCCTTTTTAAAAGCAATTCAAAATAATTCAAAGTATAATTTAACGATATAGTGTATAGTCCTTAAAATCATAAGGGAATTTGAAACATAATTTTCCTGTGTGTGAAGAAAAAGCAATGACATTGACGACGCATTAACGATATCGACGACCAAAAACGAAAATCATATCATTCGCGCGCAACACCGCTGGGAACAAAGGATCATAAGGGTCTAATCGGGCATCGATTATTCAAGTGAGTTGCCCAGAGCGCGCTCTATTTAATGTCCGTCCGTGCATGGACGCAAGATACATCGGGGATCAATCCGGTAGCCATCAAGTAATTTAATCTTCACGCACACCATGTCCAACTAAAAGCCATCCCCCGTGTTCCCTGCTCGGGAGCAGTCAATGAACCGACACAGATCAATCGTATCATATCATCGCTTTATCCTGTGCGTGCTAATAAAGTAAACTACCATTCCGCGTGTGGAAGGTATCACGATAATCATATCGCTGGCTTGTAATACAGCTTACAAATAGCAAGGTACTTGGGACTCATGTGCTTCTGTAGCGACAATTCAGCATTGCACATATGGGAGAACCACTTGACGTAATTCTAGGAATATATAAAACTACTATTTAAAACTTAATCAATAAATTTCATATCTTATATTAAACATACTCAAATATGATCATTCCAGAATATCAATGTTTAAATCTAAACCAAATCCGTTAATTTAATATGTATAATTTATTGAAATTCTCACAGAATATGAGAATTTAAATAAATTATACATATCCTCACATTTTGAATTTTATTAAATTTCAGTTATCTGTGCTGAAAATTAAAGATTTTCTTTTTTTAAATTTGGATAATTCGTCGTGTGTGTTTTTCTATTTTTATTCTATTTAATAACAATTTACTGTGCATATCTATTTTAATTTACTTCAATTATATTGAAAAATTTTAATCAAATTTTAAAATGTCAAATGAAACATGCTACATTTTTTTCTCGCAATAAATGTTTTAAACAAAAAGTTCTGACCTACTTTAATGGAGACCTCGATAAACTTGCCCAAAGAGATGTTGAATGTCATCGACTTCGAATGGTTGACGCGATATTGTTCGCGCGAGAAGGTTACTGTTAGAAAATTGATGACGTAATTCTGACGCTCATTCGAGCGACAAAGGGATCCTCCTTTCACAGCCGTCAGGCGACGGCATCGATGAGGTGGCATCGAGGAGGAGGCGGGAGTGGAAAGGGTGCTCGATTTATCTTGCAAAACTAACTCATAGGCAATTCTCGCGCGCGCCGACTATCGAGGGCGGTTCCCAAGACGTCCATTTACAACTTTGCCTAGAGAAAATAGAGTCTTACGTGTAAGATTTACATCGTGCTTTGTCCCAGCGCCAATATAACTTCTGCGGAACACCCTTTCGCACCCATGCGCGTCATGCTCTCTGGTGCATCCTTCGTCATAATGATCGAATTAATAATTCGTGTCGAAGTTTTCGCATGGCCCGAATGTCCTCGATGAAAAGTGTCACAAATCCCACACCTGGTACACATATATACATGTATACGCGTTGTAACATACATAAGCGGAAATCGGATCGATCATTATTCATAGTACGACTCCGGCGGACGCCTCTGTTCCTTCGTATTGATTGCGCGATTGTGATGAAAGCTATTCCGCTATTTTAACGAGTATCGTTCACAATGAGATAAATTTCATGTGTCCCGAGATAAAGTCGGAGATACATTATTGCAGGATCTTTATTTTATGTTCAATTTATTTGTAGAGTCTCTTAACTCTCTGAAGCTGACTCTAAAATTTATAACACACACCGTTAAATTCATATGTCATATTGTATTCAAATTGTATCCAATTGAGTTATTCTTGATTATTTCTTGGTCGCTATTGCTTTTATTCAATATGTTAACTAAAACAATGGAATTAAACAATTTAACTCAAGAAAACTTATTAAATTTGAATTAAATTTAGTTTATTACTTATTAAGTGCATTAATATAGATGTTGTTTATTTGAAACTAATCACAAAAATGAATTTATTTATATTTTGACACACGTAAAAATTAAAAATAATAAAATATTATTTTTAAAAGGATTGCGTCATTGATATCTAGTGTAGTTTACTGACACTGGATCTAAGATCTATTTAATTTATGTTAATTAAAAGGAGTACCAATTAATTAGAACATCTTTTTCAACACTGAGAAAAATGTTCTGATTAAATTAACAAAAAAAGTCCAATAAGAATGATATTATAATAAACCAAACAGAATTTTTAGTTATTATAAATACCAGTCTTGTTGATTTTTGTTAGTTTAATCAAAACTTTTCTTCCCATGAAGGAGACAAAATGATATAATTTGTATAAAAAAAAATATATCCTAAATATATGTTAATAAGAATAATTCAAATTTTTAAAAAAGAACATAAAAAAAATTGAATTGTTTGATATTTTTGAGGGATTTATAATTAAGTGAATCCAATAGACCGTCAACTCCGTAAAATTAATAATTACAAAGCGATCTTCCTTGTACACTGAAATTGAAATTTCAGCGTTCAAGTTTCTCTATCTATAATCTATACTTTGGAGTAAGATGTAAGTGCCTAGGCGCCAACATTTCAACATCGTCTATAGCGATCGACAGTGTGAAGATTAAAACAGTCGTTCGTTTCTATCTTCGACGGCACTTGCTCGTCGGCGAGTTCGATTTATATCTTAGTTTCGACCCCGAAAAACTACGAGCCGCTCTCACGAAAGGAGCGTGGGAAAACCATCCCTCGCTACGGATTCACTTCAAGCCGAACGCGCAAATGACGTTTCTTTTTTCCATTCCTTTTTTCCAGGTACGCAGAGCCGAAGAGGTATTCTTCCAACGGTCGGGACATGACGGTAGTTTTAACGCGCGCCTCCAACAGCCCCACCGACGAGGAGTATATGGAGGTCTCGTACTACTTTCACGATGGTAAGCTGTAAAAGGGAGCGTCATCGTCGGACGGGAACAAATGCGGTGGTTTGCTACGCGGCAAACTTGGCAGAAACTCGAAACAAAAAAGATTGCAACGTCGGAAATTGGATTATGATGTGCGTCGTCGCCGAGGAATCAAGTCAGCGCGCGTAAATGTCGCAAAATCGTGAGAAACACGCTCTTCTATCGCCCGATATAGTTCACTTTTTTCTTACTCGTTTCTTCGTTCTTTTTATTTTTTCTTCTGTTCATTACGAGTTACGAGTGCAATCGCGCTTCTTTACGCGCTTCGAAGAAGCTTCCTCGTTTTACGTTTTCAAGTCTAAAAAGATCGCGCAATGAAGTTTGTCTTATAATTCGATGTCTCTCGTCGAGATCTTTCCGTCGAGTTTTTTAAATAGTGAATTACACGTAATAAATAATTAAGAATTATTAACCTTTCGATGTCACTCTGGATATATCATACCTAGCTTTTTTCTCCAATATTTTTTCTTATTATTACTTATAACTTTTTTATTAATAAAGATATTTCTCATTGTCTGGCGTTTCAATTAGGAAAATATTTTTTACAACACATTTATTTTTATGAAAGTTATTAGTAATTGAATTGAGTTGGATATGCCATACTTTCCAAATGTATCATTCTCGTAGTGTATGGCATCAAAGAGTTAATTAAGAATTATGTTGCTCTCTTTCGATATACTAATAATACATTATCTTCGCCAATGTGACAATATGTGTGATGATAATGCTTGCTCAGTACTTTTTTATTGTGTTTAGCAGAAAAAATAGCTTTCCTATTGTTGTAGTATCTTTAATATGATTGGTTCTTATTCTTAATTTTTCATCGAATTTAAATATATTGGATTGTCCAGAAAGTTCGTGCCGATTTTGAAGGAAAATTGAAACGTAGAAGATTTAAATTTTAGTATACATTTATTAAATTATATAAGTTTAGTCGGCACGAACTTTCCTGACCCAATATAATCAATCACAATTAAAAGATCTTACACTTGCAAAACTACTTTGTCCGCTGAACGCAACCTTTGTAAACGAAAAGTGCTCGATAATAGTGAGCCGATATATACTGCTCTCTAAATTTTTTGGAGTGGAACCTCACTCTTTTGTAATAAAAAGTCATTCCAAGTATAATAAAAATACTGCCAGTCGAAGTGGAATAAAATTTCATTTTTTTTTAACTGTGCAATTCACTCTTCATTTGAATTTATTCTTCAATTCTAAAAAGAGTGACACGTTTCACTCTAATGAAGTGAGAATTCATTTCAATATTCTATATGAGAGACTCAGCAAACATCAAGTTACATGTAATATATCTGATAGATGTAATTTCCTACTCAATAATATAACTGTAATACAAACCGTGTGATATTATATATTACAGTTATATTATTGAGTGAGAAATTACATGTAACTTGCAGATGTTTATTACGAAAGAATATTTCATTAAATAATTCGACGCTGCCGAGCTACTTCAAAGTACAACTTTATCAAGCACAGGAAAAGTATAATTTATCCATAAGTATCATTTGGATATTTATAGATTAATACTATATATCTTTCAGGTTTTATTAACATATCATAAATTTATTCGTTCTAAAATGAATGAATACACGGAAAAAGAACACTGAGTGTATTGAACAGCATATATTCACATTTACGTATGTGATTTTTTTGTATTTTTAACATAGATTTCGTTTTTAATTCATTCTGTAAAAATGCATATAATTCATAAATCGTAAAAAAAAATTTTGCAAATGCATTACGCAGAATGAAGATTCGCGTTTATTTTTTCATTGCGTGCGATTAGTTTTCATGTGCGTATGGTGATCATTCTGCGTCAGCATTTGCGAATTACGTTTTGCAATTTGCGAATTATGTGGAAGCACCAAAAATTTACAGAATAAATTTATCAGATCGCTTATGTGAGTTAGTCAGTTGGTTTTAATGAGAAGGCGATTTCACTTTAAATTAGAGTGAAGCTTGCAGTGCTAACGACTTCATTTTAAAAATAAGTAAATCTTTACCTTTTGTCTTAGAATGAGTAAATTTATTTTGAAATACCGAAAATCTATAGTATACGGCGTAAACTATAAGTTTTCACTATTGATGTATTGGAACACGACTAATGTCAACAACATTTTCGTGATCAGCGCAAGTTGCGTCCGCAGTTTTATCATCTCAGAATCGGGTTTTTGCTTCTCGAGTAGTCAACTGCGGCACATTCAAACCGCTAATTACGAGTAACTAATTACCGTAAATACGCCTCGGCATATCGATGTCAAAGGCTCGGTCCTCTCCTCTGGCCCCTTTAATCGGATAAACGTAGGCACGTCCGAATGGTAATCCTGAAATTCGCTTGGCACTCGACCGAGGGATTCTGGTTGGCTGCCGGAGGACACATTCACGATATCGACGCGTCCGTCCTCGCAAAAACAGCGGTCGCGCTTAATCCCGTTTCAAAGATTAGATTTAACCCCGATTAAGTAGCTACGACCTTTTCCTTGGCTAAGCAATCCCGGAGATTAAAATGAGATCTCAGGTATATTATACGCGCTCTCGAAATCGGGCAACTCGTAATTATTCGTGGTCGGATAATTATTCGCTCGCAACTGTTACATCTATTTTGCCGAGTAAAGCCGGACTCCCGCGTATCACAGTCTTGAAAGCATCAAATCTAAATTCAAAGCGGGAATGATGGTGCGTGTATACACCGCGATTTTCAGTACCTATAGAATTTTATCCATATAACATTTTGCCCATAATGAGTAATATAGAACATATATTAGTAAGTAGTATATATAAAAGCAGTATAAAAGTAATATAAAATAATATGAATATATTTTTGAAAAAAATTAATTTCGTTCTGAAATTAGTTAGTATCTTAATATTATACTTAATTCTTTACTTAAAATAAAAATCTACTTTTTTTTTGCCTAACATAATGTATGAAAGTCTCTCCATTTATCGGATCTATTGTTCTCTTTTTCATCAATTTAACTTGGTTTCATTAAAGTCGAAAATTAAAATCGATCAAGCGTTTTGGAAACACAAACTAATAGTGCGCGAGATAAAATTTTAACGGACAAAACGAAACGCGGACAGCAATAATTGAATTTTGATATCGATGAGATTTTAAACGTCGACCGAATTTTACGACACATCATGTCGACATCAAATTCTCGTTTCGATTTTTTTTTTATGTTTACGAAATGGCTACCGAACTCGCTCGTAGCCGGTAGCCATCCTGGATTACAACAATCGTATGAGCGGCATATACTAGATCCAATCATGGACCATTACAAAAAAAAGCGTAAATGACAAGAATCAAAAGTCATACCTGACGACAAACTATCGCCGTCGATGGGACCAGTGATTGACGAGAGTGATCGTGTCGCCGGTCGACGTTATTACGTTTACACGTGTTACACGTGTTACACGCCATGCACTCATGCCTCTCACAGTATCTCTCTATTCAATTCGTGACGATCGATGAGTACAGTCATCCGCGACCGGCGTTTCAAGTCTTAAATGACAACGTTATATTTAAATAAAGGAGAAATAAAGCGCACTCGATCACATTCGAATCGACCTCGTTCGTCAGCTTTTTTTATTTCACGTTCATGATGACGTCCCATATAGAGATATTACCATTTCTCAACGTTACTGTTCATTTTTTTCCTTTACTTTTCAAGAAGGCGACCGCTGAATATCAAGATCGAACATTTTCGAATTTCGATCTCCTCTCGAATTCCTTATCTCGCACCGAGTACGATCCGGCGGAACATAAAACTTTATGCCTGGGGAGACCGATCTCCTTATAGGAAAGGGGTTGAAATTCAACCAGGCGATCCCGAATTGCCGCGAATAATCATGCGAAATTGCCGTGTAAGAAACGGAATGAGAGAATCCCGTCTGCGGAGCGAACTTAGACTTGAAATGAAAGTGCCCGTAAGGCGTTTACTTACCTATAACTCGCAGAAATATATATCCCTCTGACTGCGAGAAACTGTCTTGCGGGAAAAAATTAAGCTAAGAGGCGAAGAGAAGAAAGTTACATGAGTGAGAGTCCCGTGAGAGTTTAACAAAGTGTGCGATAAAATAAAAATATTTTATATTTCAGATCGCCTTGGTAATTTTCTTGATTGACATCTCGAGCGAATAGTAATTTTTTACGTTTCGCGTTACATCATATTTTGTTCCACTTATTATAATAACTTTATGTTATAATAACTGTATGTTTATTAATTTTATAATAAACTTTTGTCGCACAAGAAGTTATAAATAACGGAAAAATCTCAAGATCTTATTTTTTTATATTTAAATTAAATTAATCAAATAAAAAAAAAATCCTATTTTTAGTCGAAGTGGATCTTAATAATATTTATATGTAAATTTCTGCAAATTCAATGCGGTTGCGTTTCAAGTCCGATAAATCGAATCAGTGCGCAGTTTATGGAACTGAAAAATATGTTTGCAAAAATTTGCATATTATTAAACATCAAGCGCTTCGAAAATAGGAATATTCTTTCTCTTATTTGATTTATTCTTATCGATATAATTTTTATTTGTATTTTTTTTTTCAATTATTGATCATATTTCTCTCCGTGTCATTTATGTTAACTCCATTGCTTTATTTATAATTAAATTATTGTATAAGAAATTATACTGAATAATAAAAATCTCAGGATATTTTATGCACAGAAATTAAATCTTTATAATTTTTTTTAACACTAATGACTATATGATTTACAATGATTTGAATATCACATTGCAATGCAGTTTTAATTGCAAGTTTTGTAAAATGTGACACCGATTTTTCGTTATATAAGCATTATGCAAGCTTCTGCCTGAGTTTGGAATGTTATAATATCTGTTCTTGTTTACAATTTCAATTGGAAATCGAATCGGCACGCATATAAAAATATATATGTTATAAAATGTATTTGCAAAAATTTATATATTAATACTTTTAAGTAATAAGATTCGAAAATAGAATTATTTCTCTTAATTGAAATAATTCCTTTTCCTTTCGACGCTTTTACAAGCAACATTTTCATCTGATGCAGAACGTGAAGGTGGCACTCAGCAGCCCGCCAGCGTGTGCGACGTCGAATATTACGGATTGACGTCGCCGGTGGAAGGTTCAGTGGTGCATCCGGAACCACATCGGCTATTCGCCATGGAAGGTCCAGTGAAGTGCAGGCAGCACTTTATACCGGCGCCCAACCAATCGGTGGTCATTACCGTGAGTTTCCCGATGAAATATCTAAACTCTATCGTCCGTTTAAGTTCGACTACTAGGAATTAAATCCTCATCAATTTATTCAGTTTTAGACGCAGCGTCTCTCGCGTAAACAAGAATTCTTGCTTGTAAATTAACTTAAAAAAGGAAAAACTCTCGTGCATATCGCACGAGTTTTAGAATTCGAAATCTAAAACTTTTTATCCGTACTCGTAGCGCGAGCTTTTAATCCTCGTAGAAATAATATTCCGCGGGATCAGACGCGATTCCAAAGACGAGATCACGGTTTCAGCCACGGGTTTCAGTAACTTTTGCGAGAACGATAAAGTGCAACAATTGAATTCCTGGAAACATACCAACTGTAATCCCATGCTGAACGATACGAACGTCGCATCTGTGTTGCAAATCCGTTGCAACCGGGAAAATTGTGCAACTTTAATCTCTTACGTGCTCTTATATAACTCATCCTTTCACGATGTATACATATATTAGAAATTTAGATTTTTGAAAACTTTAAATATACAATTATAACATATAAAAAAAAAGGTACTACACTCTAAATTGCTTGCAGTGAAATTTTTACTCTAAGAGAGTGAAAATGCACTCTTGAAAAAAGTAAAAACATTTCATTTCTTGACAAAGAGTGACAATTTTCATTCTTTTTAGAATGAATTTTCACTTCAAGAGAGCGAAATCTCATTAAAAAAAATGAGATTTCACTGTATCATTGCATGTACAAAAAGTATTATAAAAGGATCATCTAAAACATTTTTTATATATCTTATCGTTTCAAATAATTACTTAGAATCAAATATAAACGTTGAATAGTTACAAGGTTTGCGGATTATCTCCGTGCCTTAATACATAATTAAAAGCATTTAACAATACTATATGTCAAAACACAGAGAACTCAAACCTTGTGATTTCTTTGAAGAAAATATTATACACGGAAGCTTCAAAAGTATACAAGCGTTAACTTTGAGAAATAGTTTCAACTCTTAAATCTCAAACTAGGAATATATAAAAAAATATGTTTCTTAAATTTGTATGTTAAACAGCATATCGAGCAGAACCAAATCGATACTGGACCGTTGCGATATCTTGTCTCTTGTCAGTCTCTTGTCAGTTACGGGAGAGACAGCGAACAATTAACTGAAAACTGCACGTATGGCATATCTCTCGATAATTAATTAATCGCGTTTTTGCCATTCTTTTAACCTGCTTCCTTCCGTCCGTACAGATTTTTACTTACACTTTTTGGAACGCTGATGCCTCTGTTTGCAGGTGAAGGGTAGCACGAAGCAAATGCCAAACAACCCGTGCGAGACCAAGTGCGGCGACAGCGGCTGCCACTGCGTCAGCAAATCTCTGGAGAGCATGGACCACCTCCTGCTCGTCTCCGAGACCGGACACATTGTCACCTGTCTCTGTGGGAATTATCAGGTAAGCGCGCGAACTGCGGAAAAACTTTATTCCATGGCCCTCGTATCGAATGAGTGTCTTGACGCCCTCGACGAAGCAGCCGCTTCCACGAACATTTCTGCTTCTTGAATACCGCGAGATAAGCTATCGTTATTACCGCAACTTTTATATCCTCCGCATTGTCGCAAAAACGTATATTGTAACGGCGATGTCGTTAAAATATATCGCTTGCGATGTACGCAATTTTCTGCGAATGGTCCCTTATGCTTATCATATCGTTTCTCTTAGCAAGATAATTCCTTTTTTTCTTC